AAGCATGCCCGACGCAAGAACCGTCGGAGGATGGGGCTTACGTCGCGCTTTGGGTGTTTCCCTTGGCGTTCGACGCGGCCACAGTGCCCCACCAGATCGAGGACACAGATGCCTTGAGTGCAGTGTACATCCCGGGCACAGACCCGCGGGCTTCGCGCATCGCCACCTCTGCCGGCCCGGGCACAGCCCCGGAGGGTGAAGTTTCACCCATGGATGAGGACGGAGCAGAGCGCGAAGCATACATGGCCGTCTGCAGTGGGGAGTGGGTAGGACAAGCCAGCCAGATTTCTTTTCCAAGCCCTGATCCTCCCGAAGACCTGCCCCACAGTAGCAGCGCAGCCTATGGGCCCTCAGCCGCTAGCTTAAAGAAGCTTAGCAAGGCCCAGTCCAAGTACCTCACCTCAAGCCTTACCGAAATGGTAGCGGGAGACGAAGTCTTAAAGGCAATCGTGTACAACGCTGCCATGCGAGAAGCTGATCACCTGATTAGATTGCATGAACCCTCGGCACAGGTCCTCGCGAGCGTGATCAACGAGAGGCAGAACGGGCCACCGGGCCTCGTGGTTGCCAGGTTTGAGACTTCCACAGAGGAGTTGTGTTTGGAGCTTGAGTGTGTAGCTGACACCCTCAACATTCCGGTTATATTGGTTACCCCGAACGGCTACCCAATGCTTGAGGACACTGTTACCTTGAGAGGAGACATGCATATCTCAGGCATAGGCCCAGAGATCGGAAAGGCTTTGGACCTCTTCCAAGCATGGTCAGAGTCTTACGGGTATATACCCCGTAGCTATGTTGATACGGATGGTACTGACTTTTGGAACCTTTGTCGTACCATTTCTGAGGAGTACTATATCAACGCATTTAGCCGAACTTGCTTTGTCGGCGACGCCCAGGACACAGATCCTGAGGACATCAGCGAAGCAGAGCTGGTGCCCGATGCTGAGATGCCTCAGCGAGGTGCCCCTGATGGGGTGGATGATGCCGGTGGCGCACTGACGCCCGAGGAAAGAGAACGCCTCATTTTGGAACAATTCCCGTTCCCCGGAACGCCGAATACAGAGGCAGAGCGCCGAGCGGCGTGGAGATCGTTACCGCAACGAGTCCGGGTAGCTATAAGGCGCCTGCACCGATCGTTTGGCCATCTGCCAAACGCAGTCCTGGTTCAGGTTCTGAAGCAGGCCCGGGCGAGCAAGGATTTCATCGCCGCTGCCGGACTTTACAAGTGTAAGGTCTGCCTGGACACAGCTCCAGTGCCCAGGCATCACCCTGTCGCAGGCGATAGCGTATTCCCTAAGGAGTTCAACCATACGATAGGTATGGATGCGCTAGAGGTCAAAGACTTCTATGGAAATCGCTATACTGCTGTCAATATAGTTGACATGGGAACAAGCTTCCAGCAAGTTGTGCTCGTGAAATCTGGGGGTGGTAACCCAAGTGCCCGCCAGTGTGTGAAATGCCTGATCGACAGGTGGATCAGCTGGGCTGGACATCCCAAAGTCATAACCACTGACAGAGGGACGCACTTCAGGGGAGAATTTTCAGAGTATTTGGCACAGCATGGTATAATCCATAAGAACGCCCCTCTTGAGAGCCCGCAGACTATTGGAAAGGTCGAACGCCATGGTGGACTTGCTAAGGCCATCATCAGGAAAGTCGCGCAGGAGGCTCAACCCTCGAATATCGAGGAGATGGAGGCGGTCGTTACCGAAAGTGTTACTACTAAGAACGAGCTTAGTAGGCACCAAGGGTTTAGCCCAGCACAACACGTGTTGGGAAAGCAGCCTCGAACGCCGGGTTCAGTGCTAGATGAATCCGAAAGCCTTGGTACATTGTTCACCAAGTATGATGAGACGAGTGTATACTACATTCGGCACAGAGCACGGCAAGAAGCCAAAAAGGCCTTTGTTCACTTAGAGACTTCCCGCAAAGTGGCCAAAGCGTTACAGCGTAATGCAGCCCCTCTAGACACTGACTATAAGGTTGGTGATTTAGTTATTTACCGTCGGGATAACGTCCCTGGCAGCCCAGGTGTCGTGTGGTCCACGGTTAGCCGCGTCATAGGACGTGAGGCAGAGAATGCGTACTGGGTATTACACGAGAATATCCCTGTACTTGTGAATGCTAGGAAGATGCGCCCGGCTGATGAAATTGAAGTTGCAGCGCATCGCGTTTTGGCAGGAGAACCAGTGCTTCCGGAAGCCATTGTTCATGGACCGGAACAAAGGTTCCAGGATGAGCGCGTAGCAGACCCGGTCACAGCACCAGCGACGCCACGTCCAGTGGCTGCAGCTGCCCCGCTTACACCGGCAGTCGCGCACGATGTGCCTATGCCAGCACCATCGACGCCAGCGATGATGCCCGGCACACCGATGCCAGCGCCATCCACACCTGCAAGGTTTCGCGCCAAAGATAAGACGGGCGAAACCGCCCGGTCGCGATCGCCAGTAGGAGGCCGTGATGATGCACTAGAGATTGCATGGTAAGATAGAGGCCTGATGATGCCGATGAGGTGACCGACGCGAGGCTTACACGCGCCCGCTCCTAGATGATGGAGATCCCGGGTGCATAGCCCTCGCGGTGGGAGTATATCGGCACGGTGGTCTTGTTGGTGTTTCTGGACCAACGCGCGAGAGACCGTCGTTCGCCATGTATCTCAACCACTACATCTTGCATCACAGTATGCAAGCCGGTCATCATCTCCCACAGTGGAGTAGCGTTCAGCTTACCAACAGAGGCGCAGAGGCCCATAGAGACCTAGCGAACACTCCTGGCTCGCATAACTACACTATAGGTGTGGGCGAGTATCGTGGAGGCGGCCTATGGGTGGAAGAAGCCACGGGTACAACTCCCGTGCGTGTTCAAAACACGACAATGTATGGCACCGTCCATGATACTAAGAACAAGGTTCTTAAGTTTCGCCCGAAGGACGTGCACATGGTCGCACCGTTTGTAGGAGAAAGATACAGTCTCTCCGCATACACGGTGAGTGATCTCGGCAAGTTGTCTAAAGATGACATACAGCTTTTGTCGGACTTAGGCTACCCCATATATAGGGATGCGCCCAACACCTTTGGCAGGAAAGGCGATGGGATATACACCATGGGTCACTCTGATCTTCCCATCGAGACGTTCCTAGAACGCATCCACGAGTACGGGATTAAGGAAATCATAGATTGCAGAAGCCATCCGTACAGCGTTCGGCATCCACAATACAATTGTGATGAGCTTTCCGCCACATGCTTTGCAAAAGGGGTTGTGTACAGTCACGCCCCCGAGTTAGGCAACAGGAATCGGGGCGGGATTGAAGCCAACCTGCAAACAGACCAAGGGCTCTGTACGATCGCTAGAATAGTTAGCGAGGCCCACGATGACTTTCACCGAATACTTCTGTTGTGTTCGGAGGCCAGTTGGCGGCGATGCCATCGGCGAAATATCGCCCAGCACATATGGCTCGAGCATTCGAAACTTGCCGAGCACATACGTGCTAACGGACTGCCAGAAGCCCATCCGTGTCACTACATTCCTGAGGAAGACGACGGACTGGCAGCGGCATCGCACACAGCTGCGATTGGCACGACTGTGCCAGCAGCTGAGCCCTCGGATAGTCGAGCGGCGGAATCCAAGGCCTTTGCTCTCACCCCAGATGGGGAAGACGCCATCGGCTCTAATGTCGATGCTGGCTACATGGCCTCGCTCCTGGATTACCACAAAGCCCCTGTCGAAGTACAGCTGGGGCTGGATGCTGCCATGAAAACTGAATGGCAGAAGTACACTGAATTCAACGCAGTGGTCCCTTGCACAGACAAGGAGTTCAAGGAGCTTACAAAGGCTGGCCACGTGTGCATCCCCACCAAATGGGTCCTCACCGATAAGAATGAACACCTAAAGGGGACGCCAGCATACACTCCCAAGTGGAAAGCACGCTTGGTCGCATGTGGAAACTTCGAGCATATCTCGAATGAGGAGGATATCAGGGCAGACAGCCCCACGGCTGAGCCGGAAGGCATAGCCCTTCTGTGTTCATGGGCGGTTTCATTGGCCCTGCGGCTCAAAGCAGCCGATATAACGAACGCATACTTCCAAGGGAAACCCCTTGAGCGCCTTCTCATTCTTCGGGTTCCTAAACACCCTAAGGGTGTACCCGATGCAGAGATTCAGCGAGCCGGGCATATGATTGCCCGAGTACCCGTGTATGGCACGACCGACGCGGGTCGGAACCTTTATCTCCGTATAAAGGAGAGTGCCCGAGAATTTGGCTTAAATGCCTCGCAAATTCTGTCAGCCCTGTACTATATTACAGGAGAAGGTGGTCGTTTGTGTGCTTGCTTGTGCACCCACGTGGATGATTTCCTGTGGGCTGCTACCGCCGAAGGCGAGCCGGCTATCCAGTATACGGACTGCAGGTCCCTCTCGGATCACTTGACTGCGTCGATTCCAAAATCATGCGAGGATAAACGCCTTGCCATAGAGATGTCTGGACTCCGCCAAGGACTTTGGGAAGAGGACGAGCTAACGCACGCCTTGTACCATCCTTACGGCGACGAGTTGAGATGGATACCGACGCATTTACAACTTGCGGATTGTTTGACTAAGAGTATGAAACCGCTTTTGATCAATCACAGCATTGATCGCAACCTCGTTCAGGTGCTCGATGTGCCCGCGCAAGCCGCACAGAATACCGAGAGTACCGAAAGCACTCCGCTCCGCGATTGAAGAACTCAGCCTGGAGCCTTGAGTCGCCGCACTCGGCTCGGTTGACTGCGCAAGCTCCCGGTATAATCCGGTGGAGTAGACTTGGCCCAAAGCGGTCATAATTCGAGCATGATTCGGACGTCACACTACAGATAAGACGGGTGTGAAATTTCCCTGTCTTGAAGCGCCGTGTTGACCTGTCCTCATGCGAGCGTAGTCTTTTGAGTTAGATCTGAATGCACCCTGTACGACAGACGTCTTGGGCTCAGACCAAAAAGTGCGCTCGTAGTGTGGTTGGACACTCACTAATCCAGTTCCTGCTTCAAAACTCCAAAACCCCTTTGTAAAACCTCCAGACATTCCTCAGTGGTAAACTTTCCGAAGTCCCCACCTGCTTCCAAAGGATCACAATCAAGGACCTGAATCTCATAGACTCCCGGAACTTCTCCCGTATCTCCTTCGATTTCCTCTTTACTGCCCCAGACACCTAGAAGACCCTCTTCGGTCCACGATTTTGGCTCCTCACCCTCGGACGCGTCACTAAGCTCCGACGAACAATCGTCATACCCAGAAGCCTCGCAACCGTTATCAAGGCTTTGGTCCTCAAAAAACCGCACCGAAGAAGGCCCCCCCCCACGCACTTTCGCGTGGGCAAACGGGGTTTTTTCCGAAACAGCAAATGGCCTGGCCGCAGCTACAACCTTGATTGCAAAATGGGAGCGCTTGCCAACTAGCCGAAACTTTGGCCGACGAGGCACCCCTGTATCTTCACCCCGAACAGGATACACAGTGTTGGTCAACAACACCTTCCGTGAGTCCCCATCCTCAATGAGAACTAAGTGCCCCCCCGGCGTATTCGGGGCAATGCCAAGGTACAAACCAGGAACAGAACGCGATTGCCACTGAGCCTCAAACCCAGTCTTAAAACGCTTTCTCGCCTCAACCTTAACCCCAAACGGAAGCAATGGTACCTGAGGCTTCCCCAGCGATTCACCGAACATCACCCAATTTCGCTCCGTGGCGTGACTGAGGGCTAACGGCCAATAACCGACCTCTAACTTCGCAATTCCAAGCAGCTTTCGGACTAAACCCTTTAGATTCTGAACGCCCAACTCTGCCTTGTTGCCAGCAGGACTATCACCTGGGGTCCATGTAGCATGTATGCCTTTATCGAAGCCCGATGCCCGAAGCTCTTTAGCTCTATCAGAATGATAACGGTTCACCGGGTATCCATGGGCTTCCAGCCTATTGATCAGGCACTGGACTTGAGACAAAACCTCTTTACCCCTCTTGGTCCTCAAAGGCGTTCCAAGGAAAAGGGTTCGGGTCTTAAATTTAGGCTCGGCAACCACAGGAGAAGAGGAATCCGCCGGCTCCTCAACAAGAGGATCCTCGTCTTCAGGACGCTTTTCTTTAACACGAAAACGCACAGCTTTGACGCCTTCAACGGAAGTCGTCCCTACCTCCGGGAGGTCCCAGAGTTCAGGAAACAGATCCTCAAATTCCCCTATACCCGTAGCACCCGCAGAATGACTCGCATCATCCTCAGCCGGAGCAACGCGCTCCGCATCCCCTTTAACTTCCAGCCCTTCTGGGCAGTACGAATCCGGTATGGTATATGCACACGCGAGGAAATACCGATAACCTTTTCCTTTATCCCTACCGGAGACCTCAGGGTTAAATGCCTGTCCAGGAACGAACGGCCCAGCTATGTCAAAGCTAGCTGCATGGACGCCTGTAAAAGCACTACGCCAGTGTGACCTTTGTCTACCCTGTGCACGAATGCACTCGGGACACCCCTTAAGGAAAGGCACATGATCATTAGCAACATGTTTAGCATAAGATTCCTCTGCGGTCATCTTCGCTAGTAGAAGCTTACGCTCTGTAGCCTCCGCAGCTTGACATCCCAGGGCACACCAACGACACCAAGACCCCTGAATAACCCTCAAAAGGCCGGTAGCCCATCCCTCTTGCCTCTGAACCCTACTCTGTAAGATCCCTTCCGGCCGAACGAGCTCCCAAGCCGCCTTCGCCTCCCAACTCATTCTTACTTCATGAACCGCTTCATAAAGGAACCAGGAGGACGTCAGGAGTTCACATTCCCTTATACACAATGCCCCGAAACAGCTTTGATCAAACTCAGCTCGATTCAACTCGTACACTTGCGCGAACGAAAGCACAGACGCCGGATCCCACGTCCTCCTTCGTTCATCCCTTTTCACCGGAACCCTAGGATCCCCTGGAAACCCACATACCATGAACACCATACTGTGGTCCCGATCTGACCCCGAAGAAGTACGCCGGTCCCGGGAAGCAACGGCTGATGCAGGTGGACTTGGTGACTGGGCAGACTCTTTCTTCCCACTGTTCGGCAAGCACTCAGACCCCGCATCCTTGCTAGCCTGAGCAACCGAAAACAATAAGAACCACCGAAGAATCTTAACCGAGCCTTCGCAAAGAGTGCGCCAGTCACTGCTAGCATGGACTTGCGAGTCCCAAGAGAACTCACCGGCCTTCGCCCCAGTCTCAAACACTCCATCCCCCTGAATCAAACCGCCAACCTTCCCTTTCTCAGCCCAGTTCAACAATAGCTGAAAGACCAACCTGGACCCTAGACCCTTCTCGGAATCCGATACCGCTACAACCTTCCCGAGCCCCTTCCACGAGCTTTGGCCAGAGGACACTGAAATCAGCACAGATCCCGATGCAGCCCTGCCAACCGACCGCCTAAAACGCCTATTCCAAGGCGACTCACCCCAGTCTACAAAGCCACTATCCAATGCCGGTACACATGCCCTAGCCAACACTTCCATAGGAACCCCCGGAAACATCCCACGAAGAAAGACCAACTGATCAACATCCGTCAGACCTTCCCCGCGCTGAACCAAACGATCTCGCAGCCACACTCGCGACTGCTCCGGAGTCAAGACGGTCTGCAAATCCATAACCTCAACCTTGCTGATCAATGGAGCCCCGACCCGGCGACCCTCATACTCGCTCAGTAAGGCCAAACCAACCTCCCTAGGAATCAATGGGCAGCCCTTTACAACCGTCACATCCAGACACCCCTTCTTGGGATGTTTGATCCGGCAACCTCGCCGCTTCCAGACAATGGAGAAACCAAGCTGAATCAAGTAACTAGCAGGCAAGATAACCTGGCATGGCCCCGAGTGCAACAAAGTACCGCTCTCGTTAATCAACAGCTCTGTTCCTCCACTCGCCAGATCAACATGGATGGTGCGACAGGTACCGATTTCCTGATCACTAGCCGGGCGCAGCGCATTAGTCGCTCCGGAGTCCACAAGGCAGAAGTCTGGATTCGAGGCATTGGTTAGGGCACTACGAACCCAGGCCAAATCAACCTCATCATCAACCCTAAGCACCTTAAGGGAAACCCCCTTTAGGAGTCTAGTAGCCTCTGCTACAAGCGACTCCGGATTCGCCTGAGCTCCCGAACTCGCGCTACCAGCAGATGCACTAGCCACAGAAGCTTCGGCTCTCACCCCCGCTTCTTCAGCGATGCCTTTAGCTTGCACCCCAGACTTAGCCTTCGCCTTAGCTCTACCACCCTTCCCACTAGGTGACCCAGCTTTAGGAGATCCCTCACCACCATCCGTAACAACCTGCCTATTCTCGGGGGCTACGATTGGGCAGTCTGGTCTAAAATGCCCGCTTTGACCACACGCAAGGCACTTATTCTCCCTCCTAGCCCTAGCCCTATCGTGCTTAAAGATACACGAATCCCCGAACCGACAACCTGAGGCGTCTGAGAACTTGTGGCACAGTTGCTGCCCCCCGTCACCCCCCTTCGCCTTGCCTCCACCCTTTCCCTTACCCTCACCCTTATCCGTAGCTACGGCCGCAACCGATGCACCCGGAGGCGGAGGGGGAGCGGGAACCGACTTAGCCGAAGGCGGGTTACCAGTAGGACCTGGGGTGGTTAACGCTGCTGTTTTAGCCCGCTTGTCGCTTACAGCATCCGAAGTAATCGACCCAGCTTCGCATTCAGCTTGTATAAGGCGGACGAGCTGCACCACACTCGCCACAGATGGGTTATAATCTATAGCCAGCTGATGTCTAAACGCGTTCACCCTAAAGCCTATCATGGGATGAGCAGAGAGAAGGCTAGAAGTAGCACCATCCACCCCTTTCAACAGAAGAGAAGCATCAGGTAAAGTCGCCTGTATCTCCCCTGCTCGCTGTAACCCTTGTTGCCATTTCCTCAACCCCTTGATTGCGTCACCAAACGTCTTACACTGCTCGGGGTTAACTAGCTGCGACAACAAATGAGACCTCTCACTCGACCCTCCAGGTTGAAACAAGCATAAGATCCGAAACAAAATCGCGGCACTAGACAGCCACCTATTTGTCACCACATCATCTCTTACCGACTGGGGCACTGCAGCAAGGAGCAGACTTACAGCCCTCGACTCTACCCGACCGTACAACTGAGGATCGAACTCCCCCCTAACCGTAGAAGGATCTATCCCCAATCTTCCCAACGGATCTGCAACCAGCCAACGACGGTACGCCATCGTAGCCGGCCCTTCTACCCCTTTCCACCAGACATCCGCACTCGGAGATAGACCTACCAACACCTGCCTAACTTGCGCCAGCCAGTTACCACAGGTTACGGCAGATTGGGAGAGTTCAGTTTGATTCAACTTAGGCAATTCATTTATATACTTGGCGGGTTCCTCAGGTCTCACTACATCCCCAACAACCCTTTGTCCGACCCCTCCGATGCCTACCCCCTGCCCCCCAAACCCTGCCCCTTGAAGGAAAGGTTCCACCCTGGGCGGCGGGAGCGGCGGCGGCCGAATAACAGTTCCTCCTGGAGAAATAGGATACCCCTGAGCGTCGAAACCCATATGACCCCCTGCAGACGATCTAGGCGTATGGAAACCCCCAGACATCCCTGAAGCCTCGGCTGTTGCCTGGGTAGTAAACTGCCTCATAGACTGAGTCCCTCTAGCTGCAAAGTTAGACGAAGCCTCATACCCCATACCCGGTAGAGGAAGAGGTGGGGCGCTCGGTACCCCGGAAGACTGCCATAATTCCGAAGGACCCTTCTCAATCGAACTTTCCCCAATAACCGGAACCAACTCTAACCCCATAGCCCTTTGCCCTGATGCCACCGAGGCGACCGTGGGAAGCCCAGCATTCCTGAGAGCTTGCTGCTCCCTCGAACCCGGAACCGATCCTACGCTCCCGAATGTAGCAACATCATTTCTCAGACCTGGGAAATTGGCCGGCACAGCCCCTTCGAGGCCACCCGGAGGCACACCTATGAAACGGCCCAGTTCAGACCATGTCTGTACATTTTCTCCTACCCTAGGTCCGCCATCCATCGCAAACGACATCGGCGAGGCCAACACTTCGCCAGGAGTACCGCTGTGCCAGCTAGAATGCGATCTCAGTTCGGCTTGCTCAACCCGTCTTTTCAACGAACGGTTCTCATCAATGAGTTGTGCCACAACCTGTTCAAGTCTCGCAGTTCTATCGTTATCTGGCAATAGCTCCGGCGCATCATCATCCGGAGGGTCCAGCCCCTCAACTGCCACACCCGGTTGCAACCCCGCTGCAGAGTCACGCTTTTCCTCTAACATTGGCATCCCAGTAGAAACTCCTTCTCTTCCCGGTCCCACAACGGAACCTTCCAGAGTAGCGGCTTCCCGAGGTCCAACAGCTTCCACTCTCGCAACTCGTGGGCCAAACCCTTCAGCAGTATCAAAAGCGGCCGAATAGTTGGGCTCTAGGCCCCCTTCCATATCCAGGTTCCCGGATCCCACTCTCGCTTGCTCTTGGTCTAATCCAGAGGGCCGCTTCCGCTGAAGCGCCACCTCCTCTTGAACTCGTGCACTATGAAATGGACTGGCAGTAGGGAGAGACGGGATACCACCTACAAACGAAGTAGACGCGCCGGCTGCACCACCCACAACTCCACCCTGTTCCAAGGTACCGGGCGATGCTTCCCCCGGAGCTACCGCACTCCGCAGTCCAGGTGGACACGCTCCCTGATCAACATAACTCGAACCACGGGGAACAATCCCCGAGTCTGCTTGACTCAAAGCTGCTGAATATTCTTGCTCCAGCTGATCGCTGAAAGCACCCGTAGCCACTGGCTCGCCTTGCCCCGCAGCTCCTCTTCTCGAGCGAACCATCGGATCCATCGCAAGGACGACTACAGATCAGACCCTAAACTAGCCACCTAGCCTAAGAGCCCCCTACGGCTGATAACCTACGTGAATAAAACCCCAAAGGTTAGAAGGATAACCTAAGTGATTAAACCAAATGCGACCACACGACTCGGAAGGCCTCGTCGCCTCCACAAACTTTTTCGAGCAAAGCAGCCTCACGGATTCCGACCTGTCGTGCTACACTCCGGCATGCTTCACGCACTAAGCCCTAAACCGTAAACCCTGAACTTTAAAACCCTCAGCCCTGAACGCTGTCTTAGCTCAAAAACCCTAAACTCAGGAGTTATCAGGAACCCCTGCTGCCATCCATGGCTCTAGCTCGCCAAGCTGCCAAGCAGCTCCTTTCCTGGCTGTTTTTGGTGCGGCTGAGTCCTGCTGTTTCTACTGGTAATTAGAATAGGGTTTTGGGGCCACTATACCATATAGCTATAGTCAGGAACCCGAAAAATAGTACTCGTAAATATTTAGGCCCCTGTATTGCTTTGGTTGTAGCCATCGAAGTTGATCCGCAGACAGACGTTTGCAAAATAGGAGGGGGTACTAGGTGTTATGCAGCACAAAGAGCCGTCCTTCATGAGCTTGGTATTTGAAGCTGTATCACCATTATCATTCTGCGTGGTGTGGGTCAGTATGGGTCGTCTTATCTCGTGCTGCTATGATTCGAGCTGCCGTTGCAGTAACACTTGTTCGCGATTGTTTGTCGAGCTAATTTCTGTCCCTGTGTATCTCTCCTGGATTGTTGTTGTTTCAGTTGCTCAAACCCAAGACCCTAAACCCTAAACCCAAAACCCTAAACCCTAAACCGCGGTTACCTGAACCTCAAGCAATCCCAGGTGCTGGGAGCAGATGCCAGCCCCAATAGCGCCCTACCTGATTTGGAAGTTGGTCAGAAGAGAGCTCATGGGCATGTATAAGTTCTATATCGGTTTTTATGAAACGTCGCGAGTCACACACCCGCCGCACGTCTGCCCCACAAAGCGTCGTATTTGTGTCGTTAGGATGTGGTAGTACATCATCACGGCCTGCACGGTCTTCAGACTTCCAGAATTCAGCTGGTGTCGGGTTGGGTTCAGCTTCAGTTCTGACAATTCGACGCGTACACCTGTCCTGGCCCGGGGTGTCACGGCTCTGCATTAAGGCAAGATTATCGCCGGCGGCTCCTTGCCAGCAAGAGTGGAGGGATTGCCGGGGGTGAAAACAGAAGGTTTGGGACAAGCCTTAAGTCCTCGGTCTGCTGCAACCGAGTGATTAGATTAGACAGAATGTTTCGGGGTCATTGAGTTGAGCGTACCAGAATTAGAGTTTCGTTTCGTGTCTTTTAGTCTCTGGAGTGGACTCCGCATTTGGTAACTTGGCGGAAAAGGCCTGATCGGGGTTGCGGCAACAGAAGCAATAACGAAACAGGCGTAAGCAATCACAAGCAAAATCGAGTAGTCAGACTTACTACAGACAGCATGCTGTCCTAAACGCTGCTCATCTTATCCTCCTAACCCTAGGCCCCTAAGCCCTAAACCCTAAACCCTAAACCCTAAGCCCGAAGCCCTAGGCCCCTAAACCTTCCGAAGCCCGAAACCACTCCTCGGCTCAGGCCTGCTTTCTATCGGCCGGCGCCTCAGGGGCTCTTCTCTTGTCTTAGCCTTGTGCCCGGAATCCGAAAGTCCTACAGTAGAAGCCCAAAAGTTGGAAACCCAATAGCCTCAATCCTTAAGAACCATGTATAGGGAATCCCAGCACTATTTGGCCTTAATCCGGTTTCCAACTTTATGGGATTTACTGTAATACTTAGCCGGCTTAGCCCTGTTTAAACCAAAGCCTACAGTGTGAACCCTGAGCGCTGTCTTACACCCTTTTCTCCAATGTTGCGAACTCTAGACGGAACCCTACAGAAAGCCCGAGCGTACTTGCCAACTCCTGCGTGCGATGGAGAAATTCCACCTGCAAAAATCGGCGCGGCTTTCACCTGCTTCTACAAGCTCCTAGCGACGGCATCTCAAGCCTAGCTGTTGTGATTTCTATGACAGTTGCTGTTGCTTTGGTTCTCATGGCGGGATGAGACTGAGGGTAAGATGATGATGATGATGGTCATTATGATGCCTGCCGGCCGTGAAGGCTGTCTCTGGTTATGAAACATCTCACATTCACATGCAGTCCTAAACCCCAATCGCAGGCCCTAGAGCTCAAATCCTCTGTGATCCCGATGCATGACCACTCTCCTAGTATACCACTAGTCAAATCTGGCCTGCCGAAACACCACGAAGGCACTAAACCCTGAACCCTAAACTGTGCACCCTTATTCCCTTATTATGCTCTCCAGCTTAAACCCTGAACCCCAAGCCCTCGGTCACTCTCTCCGAGGTTGGTATCTTCTCCTTCAGGTCGTCTTGGCCTGGGTCTGCGGGCTTTTCAAGAATGCAGGCCAGGCCCATTCCCGAAGAAGCCCGAAGCACAAAGCCCTTGAAGCAAAGGTTGAGCCGCAAACCTTCCGTATCGGATTCTGACGCTGGTCTTCAAAAAAACTGCTAGTGACTAAGCCACAAGCACAGGAATCCTCACCCTCTCAAGCCCCAGCGTCAACCCCCGGAGCATGCGCTCAGTGTCAGCCCTCATATGATGTCCAACATGAAACATTGAAAAACCGAAGAGCCCTCAACCCCAAACCCCAAAAAGAGACCAGCGTGGTGTGGTTGAGGAAACCGAGGGCAGACGGACATTGTCCGCATGGTGTTGAATCTGCCTGGCCCTCAAACTATTAGAGGAGTGTTGGAGATTTAGAGTTTCTGCGTGCAGGTCTGCTACTCGCTGTTCTCAACTTTGCCCGTCGTGTCGCTTCTTCCTGTTTCCTGTTGCTTTTTCATCCTTTCGTCTTCGAGAGATATAACTGACATGCGGAGAGTTGTGCGCAGTCTACTCTGATGCAGCTCCATGTATCTCCGCAATGAGACTTCTCGTGCTGCCTTGCCTCACGATGTTTTTTTTGTTAGGGCTGCGGCTGGTGCTGAATAGGGGCTCGCAGTCTGTTTCTTCCGGGAGCAAAGGAAAACGTGTCCAGGTGGCCCGGCAGAGCTTTCAAGGTGAAGGGTGAAACCTCGAAGTTGAAGCACTGAAGCACGTAGTGATGTAGTGTTGCATGTAGCTCAACATACCAAAGCACACAAAGTCCCAAGGACCGATCAGAGCTATAGCCTCAAACCCTCCGACACTGAAAGCCCCCAGCGCCCAAAAGCCCCGCAAAACGCTCCACAACGCAAGCCGAGCCCCGTTCTCTCAGGAAGTGTTGGGCCGTCATGTTGGGCATCATCACAGGCCGGGCAGGGTCGGGACATGGGGTGTTGGGATCAGAGTGTAAGGGATATGTTGTGTTCGGGAATCCAGGCCTTGCGGTTGTGGGATTCAGGGTCACGAAAGTTTGCAGATAGAGCGCCTATGAAGTCAGACCTCTGCTTCAGGATTTGATGAATTTGGGATTGTGGGTTTTAGAGACGTTCAGCCGAGTTCAGCCTTGGGGATTGCGTTGAGGTTCGTCCTTGTCTTGTCAGAGGTTCATGGTTCCAGATGCAAGGGCTGCCCCGCTACGCAAATGAAGATGGCTCGTCGATTTTAGCAAGCCTCCTGTCACGACGGCGCTGATAACTCCGCCTCCTCCTCCATCCTGCTCCTCCTACTCCACCTACTCCTCCCTTACCGTTGCCACTACGACGATGACGACAACAACCACGAATTTCTACGACGACGATATTTGTTCACAGGTAACTATGGCTCCAACTAGGAATGCTTATGCACAAGCAGCAGCATCTTCCTCCAGCAGTGTCATTGCTCTTCTTGATGTTCTTGCCAATCTGGCTGACAGTTCAACATTTGATATTATTCTTCCCTTCTCGTCGTGCCACTACTTCTTTCCCACACGCCCTGAGCCCTTCTCTTGTTTTTTTGCTAAACACCTTGAACCGTTGAGGCCCGTTGCCCTAAACCGTGCAGGCCCTTGCGATGAGGGCCGCATGCGGCAATCCACGCGCAAACTTCGAGAAACCTGGGCCCTGCTCTGCGTCTGCAGGTGCGAGCTCCATGGGCTTCTTCAGCAGCATCCAGGACAAGCGCTGCCAGCCACTTCGCAGGGCTTTGTGGTGCAGGGCTTTTCAGGCATAGGCTCCGGCTTCCGTATGTTTGAGGTGTGGCGCTGAGGGGTCTTAGGGCTCAAGTGTTCAAATTGTAGCCTGGGTCTCTTGGGTCTTCGTGGGTTTCCCCTAGGAGACCCCCGAACCCTAAACTCTAAACCGTCAGCATCCGCAAGCTCGACGCCCGACACCTCGCAGGAACTTGGCAAAGACAGCACAACGTGGATCTTGGCGAGCCTCGAATTTGCTTCTACGTAAGAGTTCTATAAGGGTGGGGTTCGGAACGTCAGGGCTTTATAAGTTTGGGTCTTGCGTGCTTTTGGGTTCAGGAGTTTAGGGTTCAGGGTTTTGGGTCCTTGGTGCTTGGGGGTTCTTGAGAACTGGGTTTGGGGATGTGGTGACCCTCATTCTTGTCTTCAAACCCAGACGTAACACCACACATCTTCAGCCATGACTACAGTATAGACTATAGAAGCGCAAGAAATTCCAACATTATTCCATGTATTCCTTAGGATTCCTTCTTGTTTCCATCATATGATAAAGGAGCCCAAAACCCTATTCTAATTGTTGAGTCCCCTACAATACACAGTCCTCCACCCTGACTGAGCCAGGATTTTAATGTCTGCTCACAGATGTCGTTTTACTTACAGCCGCGAACCAACAAATCTGAAGCTAGGTTTAGTAGTATGACAGCCACATCCAAATATACGCTACTTTTATGATTCTGAGCAGCATTGCTGTAACCGTCAATACTTATTCGAAACCAGTGCGATTGGTTGTTACTGCTATTGCTGTTGTAATGTTGATTTTAACTCCAAATTTTCACGAACTCTTCGCGACTACTATTTTTATGTCATTCGC